TCTTGGGGGCCCGTCGGGTGCCTCCTGGGGCCCTCTTGCGATCCGTTGGAGCGTCCAAGATCGGCCCCTGGGAGGGCCAATTGTTGACACCCCTCACGAGGATCGTGGCCCCCGAGGGGGGGGGGGCAACGATCGGGACCCTCCCTGTTTTGATCGATAGCCTCGAAGATGACCCCAAGAGGCGCTCCAGGGCTCCCAAGAGAGCCCCAAGAGAGCCCCAAGAGGGCCCCAAAAGGCTCCCAAGAGGAACCCATGAGGCACCCGAGAGGCCCCCAAGATGCCCCTGAGCGGCCTCCGAGAGCCCAGAATGACCTCCAAGCTGGCTCAGATAGCCCAAGCTGGCCCAAGATGGCCCCCAAGATGCTCTTCAAGAGAGCCTCAAAAAGCAGTTTGCCGGCTCCTGAAGGGGGGAGCTGAATTGGGGATCGCCCCTTTTTGTAATCGATGACCTCCCAGATGATCCCAAGAAGCCTTCCAGGGTTACCAGGAGGGCTCCAAGAGGGCCCCAAAAACTCCCAGAGAGCACCTGCAGCAGCAGCAGCAGCAGCAACAGCTGCCGCAATAATACCTTTAGATGGTTCCATGAGTCCGCGTCCGCGTCGCCCTCATCCTAATCCTCGTCCTCCTCGTCCTCGTCCTCATCCGCGTCCTCGTCCTCCTCGTCCTCCTCGCCCTCCTCGTCCTCTTCTCCCCCTCGCCCCCACGCGGCGCCCAGGGATGGCCCGAAGAGGCCTTCCAAGGTCACCACCTTGCTCGCTTTGTTTACCTAAGTATGCCTCTTCGTCCCTTTTCCCGTCAGCTCTGAAGAACCGGATTTCTGAATGGGCTGGTGGGGATACTTTTTTGGTCGCGGCCGCAAGCGAAAGCGCAGGCGGCGTCCGAAGTCAGCCCGGGCTACGAGCGGAACCTAATTACCTAGCGCGCGCACAAACGGCCGCCGGAGCTACCGCCGAGGGGCGCCGGGGACTGAAGGCAGAGCTGTAAGAGCTGCCAGGTGTGCCAGGCGGCTGAAGTGCAACCACCCCAGGGGCGAGACCACCAGGAAGGCAAACGAATCGTACCCTGTCGCGCCAAGCGCCACAGGTAAACGCGACACCGAGCAGAGCACGGCATAGCGCGAGGCTGGGCAAGCAGTCCAGCGTACCTGTGTCGCATGCCAACAATGGCAAACTCAAGTGGTTGAACAAGAAGGCTAAACCACTCATGAACGATCCACGTGGAGATGCATCCCACTATTGCAAGGCGGCAGCTGCAAACACAGCCAGGCGGTGGCAGTGTCTAGGGGCCAGGGACCAGGAAAATGCAAGCATGCAACTGGTGGGGATACTTTTTGGTCAACGGCCTCGTGAAGCGGGTCAAAAAGCGTCCAAACTCTAGCCGGGCGCAGGTGGGGATACGCGAATCGTGAAGAATTATGTTGCGTCCGTTGTCCCTTGGCCACGGTCCTTCGTAAACTACGCTGCGTCCGCGCTCCCAGGGCAGCGCTCCCTAAAACAATCATGTTAGATACTCCCCTGGGTGGCCTGGACACATAAAAACATGCGGGGCCAGCTCTGGACAACCATGTTAGATACCCCCCCTGTGTGGCCTGGAAACGCTAAAACACGTAGCCGTTGCCCGGGACAGCCATGTTATATATCCCCCTGGGTGGCCTGGACATGAAAAACACGTGGTGCCAGCTCGAGACAACCATGTTAAATACACCCCTGGCAAGCCTGGACACGTTGAAGCACGTGGTCCTTGCTCGGGACAATCGTGTTAGATACCCCCTCTGGGTGGCCTGGACACGTAAAAACACATGGTGCCAGCTCGGGACAACCACGTTAGATATCCCCCTGGGTGGCCTGGACACGTAAAACCACGTGGTTCCAGCTCGGGACAACCATGTTAGATACCCCCTGGGTAGCCTTGACATGTAAAAACATATGGTCCCAGCTCGGGACAATCATGCTAGACAATCATGCTAGACATCCCTCTGGGTGGCCAGGACATGTACAAGCACGTGGCTCCAGCTCAGGACAACCATGATATATATACCCCCTGCGTGGCCTGGGTATGTTGAATTCGCGCTCCCGCTCGAGGCATCCTTGCAATTCGTGACCTGGAGAGGCCCCCAAAGCGCTACCCCCTGTCCAGAGCAAGAGAGATTAATTTTCTGTTTTGAGAGATGTGTTCGGATAGCGCTTGTCGGCCCCCCGTGCGGTTCCTGATAATTCGACGTAGGGCCCGACGCCATGTTCGATACCCCCCTGGGCGGCCAATTCGGGCTAATCATGTTAGGAACCCAGCTGGGTTGCCTGGACCTGTAAAAACACGTGGATCCAGCTCTGGGCAACCATGTTAGATACACCCTTGGGCGGCCTAGACACGTTGAAGCACGTGGTCCTTGCTCGAGGCAGCCATGTTAGATACCCCCCTGGGTGGCCTGGACACGTAAAAACACGTGGCTGCAATTCGGGACAACAATGTTAGATATCCCCCTGTGTGGCCTGGACACGTGAAAGCACGTGGTCCTTGCTCGGGACAGCCGTGTTAGATACCCCCCTGGGTGGGCTGGACACGTAAAAGTGGCCTGGACACGTTAAACCGGTGGGTGCAGTTCGGGACAATCATGTGAAAGACCCCCCAGTATAAGCACGTGGCTTCACCTCGGGACCACCATGTTAGATACCCCCCTGGGTGGACTGGACACGCGGAAACATATGTTTCCAGCTCGCACGGGATCCACTTTTTCAACCACCGGTCGGGATGTCAAATGCAGGCGTTTCGCGAAGGACACCCTTGAGCTTCATTTCCGCCCGCCCTCTTCGACCTCGTGATTTCTCGCAGAATAATTTCTCTGGCCCACCTAAAATCGGGACCAGGGGAAACAAACCTAAAAAAGAACCCTGGGCCCCTGCCCTGTCCGGAAAAAGCGGCACTGGAAACAGAAAAAAACACACGCCCCCGGCGTTTTCAACACCATCCGAGTCTGGGAGGGTGCGCCGCTGGATCTCCCCAAGGGGGGAGGGGGGGTTGGGACCCCCCCCCCTCTTCCCCGATCCGTCGTCCACCCCCCCCTCCCCGATCCGTCGTCGGGTGACCCCCCCCCTCCCCCCCTTTCCCCGATCCGTCGTCGGGGACCTACTGACTACTCGCTACTCGCTATTCACTTCCCACTACCGCCTATTCACTACTCACGAATCACTACTCACTATCCACTACTCGCTACCCACTACCCACTACTCGCTACTCACTACTCCCTACTCACTACTCACTAATAACTACTCATTACCCACTACCCGCTATCCCCTACTCACTACTACTCACTCCCCGCTACTCAATACTCACCACTCACTACTCCCTACTCAGTAGTCACTATATACTCACTACTCACTACTCACAACTCACCAGTCACTAGTCACTACTCACTACCCACTACTCACTAATCGCTACCCACTTTTCGCTACCCACTTCTTACTACTCACTGCTCACTGCTCACTATTCCCTACTTCCTACTCACTATTCACTACTCGCTACCCCCTACCCGTTACTGACCAATCACTACCCACTACTCTCTACTGACTACCCTCTACTCGCTACTCACTACTCACTACGCCCTACTCGCTCCTCACTACTCACTACTCCATACTCCCTACTCACTACTCACTACCCACTGCCACTGTCCACTACTCTCTATTCATCACTACTCACTACTCACTACTCACTACGCACTACGGACTACACAATACTCACTACTCACTACTCACAACTCACTACTCACTACTCGCTACTCACTACTCACTACTCACTACTCACTACTCACTACGCACTACGCACTACCCACTACTCACTACTCACTGACCACCACTCGCCACCCACAACTCACTACCCACTACTCACTACCCACTACTCACTACCCGCTACTCTTTACTCCCTACTCCCTACTCCCTACTCCCTACTCCCTACTCGCTACTCGCTACTCGCTACTCACAGCTCACTACTCGCTGCTCACTTGTCAGTACATACTATTCACTACTTACGACTCCCCATTCCCTACTCTCTACTCCCTACTCGCCAGTCACTACCCACTATCCACTACCCAATACTCTCTACTCACTACGCAGTAACTCACTACTCACTACTCACCACTCTCTACTCCCAACTCCGTACTCCCTGCACACCTTGTCCGGCGCAGAAAGGAGAAGCGAGAGAGGCACCCCATCCCTGGCTCCCTTTCCGGCGCAAAGGGGGGGAGGGGGGGGGGTCCGACCCCCCCCCTTCCATTGCCAAGGGGGGGGGTTCGGGACCCCGCCCCAACCCTTAGTGTATTCAGGGAGATCCACTGGCGCACTTTCCGAGTCTGGGCCAGGAACACCTTCCGCAACCCCGAAGGGGAGGGAAGGGAACGAGGGGCCTCGCAGCCTAGCTTCGGAGGCGTCGGCACCACTGGCTTTTGGCACCGCGCGGATCGTTCAACCTCGAACGATCGCGGCCCTCCGACGTCGACGATCTTTCGGTGTCGGCCGATTCTGGGTCTCTGGCGGCGTGAAACCTCGCACACCCTCCATGCGGCCAACACCGCGCCAACGCGGCGCGAACGTGTCGTACCTCCGCAGGCCGTCCCGGCGAACCGTCGCCCTCCCTCTCCCTTCGCAGATCGCCGGTTTGCTGAGGGGGAACAATCGGGGGGGGGGGGGACAGGCTCAGGGGGGGAACATCGGCCTGGAATCGGCGGTACGTTGCCGATACGGGCTATCGGAACCATTGGGGGGCGGTGCGTTCCCCTCGGAGCCCATCGCCAACGTGGCCCCTGGCCCCAGCGATCCTCGTCGTCTGGCTTTAGGGTCCTGACTCGGGTCTCCCGCGGCCCCTCGGGACGATCTGGGCAACCCTGGGACGCTCTCGGCGAGGCGCGGCTGCTGGATCCGCGAAAGCGTCAGATAACCTTGAAACTCGAGCCTCGAAGCCTCCAAACTGGAGCCCTCCTGGCGCCCCTCTTCCCAGCGCGCGGGGGGCGCCAGTGCTCCACGTCGCGGCGCAGGCCGCCCAGCCGAAGCAGAGCGAGCCCGCCAGGGTGCCGCACGAGAGGAGGCAGAGGGCGTAGTAGAGGAGGCCAGGGAGCTCGTCCGCCTCCCGCGGGGAGGAGGCGCGCGCGGCCACAGGGAGCGGGGGCCAATGACCGACGACGGTAACGGCGACGGCGACGGCGGCGGCGGCGGCGGCGGCGACGGCACGACGACGGCACGACGACGGCGACGGCGACCATCACCACGTCGACGACGACGACGACCGCGGCGGCGGCGGCGACGACGGGCTGACGGAGGGCAGCGCGGCTCCCGGCGCGCAGGTGCGCAGCTCGACCGCGCTCCAGAACCGTTGAAACCACGGGCGGCGGCCTGACGAAAGGGTGCGGGGGGAACGAGGGCGAGGAGGTACTAGGGCGAGGAGGTATGAGGAGGAGGGTCAACAGGAGGAATAGCGAATCAGACTCAGACTGGCGGCGAGACCCGCACGCAGGGGCAAAGTTCCAAGATAGAGCGAGACAACGATGACGACAAGCGGTGCGACAACGGCGGGGGGCATGCAACAGGGGCGGGCGCTGGAAAATCTGGGCAGGAGCCGCGATTTCGTGACCGCCCAGGAAACATTCCCAGCAACCTAAACGGGCTCTACGGGCGCTCCACAATTGTTTGCCCCGAAGGTGCGCCAAACACTCGGTGAACGACGGAATCGGTGGGGGGCCTGTGAACTGGCACGCAGAACAGCCACAAACTCACACTGGTAGGACTCCGACCGAAACATATGATTTTGTAGTCTCAGCATACTCGAGCACCGAGGGTCTACACCCGCAGGAAGCCCGCACTCGCTGAAGTCATCAGACATGGCCGACCTACGAACCCAGAAAGGAATCTAGAAATGTAAGGCATGGCAACGTTTCAAATACACCTGATTGGGCGACGGGCAAAAACAACGCTGTGTGGATCGATCTTGATGTACCGTGCCGAAGTCTGTGCTGTGCTGCGCCGTGCTGAACTGCGATGTGCCATGCCGCGATTGTGCTCTATAGCGTTGTGGACCGAGTCCTACTTTGCATCTGAATGCTGACCGACGTGCCAAAGGGACGCGCTACGGAACGTGCCAATGGACGTGCCACGGGACGTGCCAGGGGACGCGCCGCGCGACGTGCCAAGGGGACTCGCCCCACGGAACGTTCCAGGGAACGTACCAAATTGCAAAACTGAATGTATCGATCTTGCTGTACCGTGCCGAGTGCTGTGCTGTGCTGTACTGCGCCGTGCTGAACTGCGATATGCCATGCCGCGATTGTGCTCTACACTGTTGTGGGTCGAGTCCTCCTGTGCATCCAAATCCTGACCGAACTGATCTGGATCTTGAGCTCGAGCTGCGTGAGCACATAGTAGCTGCCCCAGAGCGTTGTGGAACCCATCTGCTTTCACGTATCTCCCGCCTTGGGGCATTCGGAACCCGTGCGTTTTCACGTTTGTCCCGCCCTGGGGCGTCAGAGCCCCATGTGTTGTCGCGCTTCCCCCGCCCTGGGGCATTAACAACCCATGTGTTTTCAAGACAATCATGTTCGATACCCCCTTGGGTGGCCTGGACACGTGAAAACACGTGGCGCCAACTCTGGGCAACCATGTTAGATACCTCCCCTGGGCGGCCTGGACACGTTCAAACACGTGGTCCTTGCTCGGGACAACCATGTTAAATACATCCCTGAGCAGCCTGGACATGTTAAAACACAAGGTCCTTGTAGATATCCCTCTGGGTTCCAGCTCGGGACAACCATGCTAGATATCCCCCTGGGTGGCCTAGACAAGTAAAAACAAATGTTTCCAGCTCAGGACAACCAGCTCGGGAACACCATGTTAGATACACCCCTGTGTGGCCTGTACACGTGAAAACACGTGGTCTCGGGACCAACATATTAGATACCCGCCTGGGTGGCCTGGACACGTGAAAACACGTGGTTCCAGTTCGGGGCAATCATGTTAGATACACCCCTGGGTGGCCTGAACACACAAGAGCACGTGGCTTCAGCTTGGGACCACCATGTAAAATACCCCCCTGGGTGGCCTGGACACGTGAAAACACGTTGTTCCAACTCGCACGGGATCCGCTTCTTCGACCAACATGTGTCCCGCACCCCGTGAATTATCTATCAAGATTTCAAACACATGATCGACCCACGAGCCGGGAAAAGGGAGATAGAATGTAACGCGTGGCAGCGTTTTCAAAGACACCTGATTGGGTGACGGGAAAATGCGATGTTGAGTGTATCGATCTTGATGTACCCTGCCGAGGGCTGTGCTATGCTGCGCCGTGCTGGATTGCGATGTGCCATGCTTCGGTTGTGGTCTATAACGTCGTGGATCGAAGCCCCCTCCTTAGTATCCGGGTCCTGACGAACTGATCTGGATCTTAAGCTCGAGCAACCTGACCACATGGTAGCCGCCCCAGGGCTAATCGACAGGGCACCGCGGAACGTCGCAAGGGACGCGCCAGGCGAAGTGCCAAGGGACGTGCCATGGGGTCGCACCGCGGGAAGTGCCAACGGGACGCGCTACGGAACGTGCCAATGGACGTGCCACGGGATGTGCCAGGGGACGCGCCACGCGACGTGCCAGGGGGACTCGCCAAAGGACGCCCCACGGAACGTTAGAGGGAACGTACCAAATTGCAATGCTGAGTCTACCGATGTTGATGTACCGTGCCGAAGTCTGTGCTGTGCTGCGCCGTGCTGAACTGCGATGTGCCATGCCGCGATTGTGCTCTATAGCGTCGTGGATCGAGTCCTCCTTAACATCCGAATCCTGACCGAACTGGTATGGATCTTAAGCTCGAGCTGCCTGAACACATCGTAGCCGCCCCAGAGCGAATTGACAGTGGGGACATGCCAGGAGGACGCGCCGCGGAACGTCTCAGGGGACGCGGCAAGCGACGTGCCAGGGGACGTGACATGGGAACGCACCGCGGGACGTGCGAACGGGACGCGCTACGGAACGTGCCAACACCTCCTCATTCTAGACCTCCGCTTGGGCGACCTGTACACGTGAAAGCAAACGCCTCGCTCGATACATCCTCAACACATCTTCATGTTAGACATCCGCCTTGGCGACCAGGACACGTGAAAACAAGCGTATCTCTCGAGGCATTCTCAACACATCCTCATGCTAGGCATCCGCCTGGGCAACCTGGACACGTGCAAACAAGCATCTCGATCGAGACTTCCTCAACACCTCCTCATTCTAGACATCCGCCTGGGCGACGAAGACGCGTGAAACCAAGCGTCTCGCTCGAGACATCCTCAACAAATCCTGGCGCTTGACCTCTGCCTGGGCAACCTGAAGGCGTGAAACCAAGCGTCTCGCTCGAGGCATCCTCGAAATCCGGGCACATGAGAGAAAAAAACAAGTCACTTGAAACATCCTCTGAATTCTGGTCCCCTGGAGAGGACAATCTATAAGACAAAACAAGCGTTTCGCTCGAGACATCATCAACAACTTCTGAAACAAAAATCGCTTCGCTCGATACACCCTTACAGTATAATTCGCCGGCCCACCTCGACCCGGTTTTTGTTTCCCCCCTTGCCCCAGCGTTGATACGCACAGCCTGCTACTCGGCGCGCTGCACCGCCCAGCTACAGCCACCTCTGGAAGAGCCGGCTCCGCAACGGGATAAGGCCGAGCATGAAGATGAGTGAAGCAGTCCGGATCGAATGCTGGGCAACGCCGAAATCCGCGAAGAACATCCAAGATATCGCGAACCACCGAAGGAATCCCACACCGCCACTCCAATACACCAGCCGATCATCCAAAGCATCGCCGCACAACTCAATGTGCGCCGACGCGACCGTGAAGTGCCCCCAGTTGCCGAGACGGCGGCAAAGTGCACGATGTCTCTTACGTTGGGCCTGGTTCCACAGCTCTGTCCAACCAGCTGAAATACAAGAGCGGATACTGAAGAGCAGCGCCATGGCAATCCACGCCCACGGATCGGCCCAGACGGGGAGAGGAGCGACGAAAGACAGAGACCTCAGCGATCACGGCGAAGGTGCAAAGCACATCGAAGAAGACGTATATGAAGGCACCGACGGAGGTGACGAGCTCGCGCGAGCGAGCGGCGAAGGAGCGCGGCCCCCCCTCAGGGAAGCGGCGACGCCTCCGCGGCTTGATCGCCCGAATCACCACCGGCGCCTCGAAAGAGGCCAATCGATCCCTCCAAAACAGACTCCGAGGCTGGACGGCGCTCGCGCCCATCGCCGTCGGGCCCTGTCGGTGCCCGGGAGGGGCGGCCAGTGCGCCAAATTCAGAAAGACGAGCCTTCAGGCTCGCTTGCCCCCCTTCCGCCGACTTGTTAGGCATCTTGCCCGACTCCCGCCCTTCCGCCGCCGGCCCTGCGGCCGCCGCCAGGAGGGCGCGCCATCGGCAGAGCGCATTTCGCGCGGCCGCTGGTTGCAGGGCTATCCTGGCACGCCGCCGACCCCAACTCGGCCAGCTTGTCGGCCATCATCTGAAAGCAACGCCCGCGCTGAAGGGCGGCACGTAGCTCGCACTCCCACCCTGGGCTGCTCGTCGCTCGCGCCTGGGCTGCGTGGCTCGACCGCGCGTTTGAAGCCCCCCTCAGCGCCTCCAGATGCATGTCGGAGGGCACCCGCTCACGCAGCAGCCGCAGCGTGCCCCGCGCCTCCTGCATCGCGGCCCGCATCTCCTCATGATGCTCCTCATCCTGCCGTGGACTGTGTCGCTGGCCTCCGTGCCCCCGCGGATCTGCCTGACCATCGGGGGGGGCAGCGCCAGGTACAACAGCGGGACAGCTGTCGGAGCCGCTGTCGAGGAGCGTGCCGTTGGAGCTGGTGTCGAGGAGTTTGCCGTCGGAGCCACTGTCGAGGATCTGTCTGTCGTAGCCATCGGAGCTGCTGTCAAGGAGCTCATCGGCAGAGCCGGTGTCGATGAGCATGTCGTTCGAACCGTTCTAGGGGAACGAGGGGCATGACCTCGGAGCCATTGGCGCGAAGCTCGGAGCCGACCCCCTCGCGGTGCATCTCGGTGGTCTCGGCCGGCTCATCCAGCCAGCCTTCAATGTCAACTTCCTTGTGATTCATCTCGGTGGTCGCCTCCAACTCCTGCGTTGCGGCCTCGGAGCCCACCTCCTCAAGGCGCATCTCAGTGCACTCGCCCTTCGGCCCGCTCGTAAAGCCAACCCTCGTGGACTCCTCCTGCTCGTCCTGCTTGGCGATGTTCTCGTCCTCCCGCTCCATTTGCCCCTGCAGAATATCGGCGCTGCTCCCATGATGATCCAGGCCACGTTCAGGAAGAGGCCCCACGTCTGTCTCGAAGTCTGTCATGGTGGCCGTCTCCTTCGTGGTCTCCTCCGCCAGCTGGGACGCGACGCCCTCGAACTCCTGCTCCTCCTCGTGCTGCTCCTCCTTCGGGTTCTCCGCCCTGTAGACCGCGCTATGAGCAGTTTTCAAGACCACCGCCTGCGCCAACGCCGCATGCAACGGCAGTGCCGCGGTGCAGGCCAGCGGAAAGATGCGGTCGCCACGCACGCCATTCCCGGCGCCCTCCGTCCATTGCCACGTGGTGCCGTCGGCGTCGGTGCACCAGCCCTCGAACTCGTCCGCGCCCACGTCCAGTCCGAACTTGCGAGTGGAACCGACTGTTTTCCAAGCTCAACAGGTTCCTCTCGCTCGTGGCCGACACCGTCCTCTGCCCCTGCTTGTCCTCCTGGTCCTCCTCGTCCTCCTTCGCCTTCCCAGCATCGTCAGTCTTGCAATCCTCTCCACCCTTGATGTCCTTCTTCGTCGGCTTCCCCGCCTTCCTCGTCTCCGGCTTCAGCAAGAGGGTGGTCCAGCAGGCCTCGTACTCCCGTCGGTGTCCCACGATTGCACGGGTGGTGCAGTCCCGGCCCGCAGCTGCCGTCGGCGAAGACGTCGACCCGCCGCCTCCGACCGCATGCCTGTCGAGGCCGTACTGGCGGTCGCCATCGCGCCGCAGCCACGGCCCAGCGCGAGCGCGGGCGGGCGGGCGCAGGCCCAAGCCGGAGGCTTGAGCCAGAAAGGCTTGAGCCAATAAGTATCGGGGGACGGCCCCGATATGTATCGCAAAAGAAAATCGCCGGCCCACCTCAAGTCAAACCCGGGGGTAAACCATCTGAAAGACAATCCTGGGCCTAAGCCCTTTCCAGGAACATGATCGACCCGCGAACTGTAACGCATGGCAACGTTTTCGAAGACACCTTATTGGGTGACGGGCACATGCAATGCTGATTGTATCGATCTTGATGTACCGTGCCGAGGGCTGTGCTGTGCTGCGCCGTGCTGAATTGCGATGTGCCATGCCGCGGTTGTGCTCTATAGCGTCGTGGATCGAGTCTTCCTTTGCATCCGAGTCCTGACCGAACTGATCTGGATCTTAGGCTCGAGCTGCCTGAACACATAGAAGCTGCCCCAGAGCTAATTGACAGGGGGACATGCCAGGAGGACGCGCCGCGAAACGTCCCAAGGGACGCGCCAGGCGACGTGCCAGGGGACGTGCCATGGGGACGCACCGCGGGACGCGCCAAGGGGACGCACTACGGAACGTGCCAATGGATGTGCCACGGAATGTGCCAGGGGACGCGCCTCACGACGTGCCAGGGGGAACTCGCCAAGGGACGCCCCACGGAACGTGCCAAGTTGCAATGCTGATTGTATCGATCTTGATGTACCGTGCCGAGGGCTGTGCTGTGCTGCACCGTGCTGAATTGCGATGTGCCATGCCGCGGTTGTGCTCTATAGCGTCGTGGATCGAGTCTTCCTTTGCATCCGAGTCCTGACCGAACTGATCTGGATCTGAAGCTCGAGCTGCCTGAACACATAGTATCTGCCGCAGAGCTAATTGACAGGGGGACATGCCAGGAGGACGCGCCGCGAGACGTCTCAAGGGACGCGCCGTGCCAGGGGACGCGCCATGGGGACGCACCGCGGGACGTGCCAAGGGGACGCACTACGGAACGTGCTGGGGACAAGCGTTTCGCTCGAGACATCCGCCTGAGCGACCTGGACACGTGAAAACAAACGTTTCGTTCAATACATCCTCAACACATTCTCATGCTAGACATCCGCCTGGGCGAACCGGACACGTGAAAACAAGTAGTTCGCTCGAGACGTCCTCAACACATCTTCATGTGAGACGTCCGCCTGGGTGACCTGGGCACGTGAAAACAAGCGTTTCGCTCGAGACGTTTTCAACACCTCTTCATTCTAGACATCCGCCTTGGCGACCTGTACACGTGAAAGCAGACGTCTCGCTCGAGACATCCTCAACACATCTTCATGTTAGACATCCGCCTGGGCGACCTGGACACGTGAAAACAAGCGTATCTCTCAAGACATTCTCAACACATCCTCATGCTAGGCATCCGCCTGGGCAACCTGGACACGTGCAAACAAGCATCTCGATCGAGACTTCGTCAACACATCCTCATGCTAGACATCCGCCTGGGCGACGAGGACGCGTGAAACCAAGCGTCTCGCTCGAGACATCCTCAGCAAATCCTGTCGCTTGACCTCTGCCCGGGCAACCTGGAGGCGTGAAACCAAGCGTCTCGCTCGAGACATCCTCAAGACCTGGGCACGTGAAAACAAGCATTTCACTTCAGAGTTCCTCTGAATTCTGGTCCCCAGGAAAGGACAATCTATAACACAAAACAAGCGTTTCGCTCGAGACATCCTCAACACATTCTGAAAAACAAGCGTTTCCCTAGGGACATCCTGAAATTTTAATTCGCCGGCCTTGTCCCCACTCGCTATTTATCGCAAAAAAATCCACTGGCCCTCTTCCCGTCAAAACCGGGGGGAAACAAGCTAGAAAAGAACCCTGGGCCTGAAACCCTTTCCGGGAAAAACACTTGGTTCCAGTTCGCGGCAATCATGCTAGATGCCCCACTGGGTGGCCTGGACAAGCAAGAATAGTGGTTCCAGCTCGGGACAACCATGTTAGAAACCTCCCTGGGTGGAACTGGGGCCTCATGGAAAAGGCAAGTTTATAGGAACATATGCAAAAGCAGACGGATTCGTGCCCCTGGAGAGGGCCAATCTATGGCGGCACACGTAAAAACACACGGATTCGTGCCCCTGGCCCAAATGTGTCCCGCACCCTGTGTTTCGTGCCCCTGGGATTTCAAAAACAAGCGTTTCGCTAGGGACATCCTCAATTGTTCCACGCCGAACGGGACTTTACCTTATTACTTATTGCAAATCATTGCGCTGGCCGAAGCCGGGGGGACCCAAAACTAAAAGACAACCCTGGGCCCAAGGCCCTTCTGCGAAAAACCTGGTGGCAAGAGACAGCTACTTGCCCCACATGTGCATCTGGCATCTGTACGGGGATCCCCTCGTCCATTCAGAAACCTTTGCTAATCTACGTTTGGTGATATCGGCCCTGGCCGATCCACGGCACGGCTGTGCAAGTTTTGTACATGGACAAACACTGTAACAGACGCAGGAACGGCAGAACACAAACGGACCACATGCTCTTATCACTGGGCCATGCCCCACTGGGGCTGGACATAGCTTGCCTTGGCTGTGCGCCCACTAGGCTACACAGCGATACCCCAAAGTTCCTCTGCCCCAGACCACTTGGAGGCCAATCGCCACGGCAGGAACCCCAACGAGCAACCCATGAGCAGGAGGACACAAGAGAGAGGGGGGCTGGTTGGCACTGCTCGAATTAGACATCAGACGGAGCCAATAGTAGCTCTACACTTTGTTTCGTCGACACTGTGACGAGCAACTGCACGTTCGGCATACACCATCTGCAACATACTTCGCCTGGCGTGTTCTGATAGGTGGGCTTTGTCTTATTTGCTTGGAAGTGATCATATCCAATATGATCAGCCTGTTTTCATGGATTGCGCGCCATACGTCGGCAAGTTCAGCCATGCCAGAACAGGACACAGACACAGGAAGACTGAAAACATCGACAGCTCACTGGCAATCAAATAATACCGTTGGTCGTCTCCAAGTGCACCTGTGTCTGGGAAATACCAATTAGGCAACAATCTCGGTGTCAAGGAAGTCTTGGACGAGACTGGGATAAATACCGTAAGCGGTTGTACAATCAACCCGTATAGTAAGAACGCATTGGAAGACAAGGCCATGCCAACACCTTTCGAGCGGGGCGCGGCCAGCGAAAGCGGGCAAGGATGGGCCGAAGGGAAAGGATGCAAAGGTAACCTTGGAGAGTCGCTAATCCTCACTCTGCGGATTGACTGTAATACAATTCCCCACTCTATTGACGGACGCCACAAAGAAACCAAACCTGATGGCGCGGGGAGAAGGTTCATGCAAGCCTGAACCATCTCCAACAGTCCGGGGCGCAAAAATATATCCCTGCCCGGCCCTGCCCCCACACCCTGACCCACTCCAGTTCCAAATCGGTGGAGGGAGGGGGGAAGAACTCATTCTGGGTCTGGAACGAGTGCAGCATGCCAAACGGGGTCGTGGGGGTGGGCTGAGTTTGCCATCGGGATGTGTCCCGGTAGTCCGAAATCTCGTCGGCATTGGTCGGTCGCTGGACGCAACCATATCAGAGGATGAGTGACCTCCCGACGATTACGAGACACATGTTGACACAAGGAACAACATAAACGTACATGGGGAATTCCCGCGAAAACTGCACTCAAAGCTGTGGGTTGACTACGAGTCCAACTTGCAACCCCACCTAGCAAGATGGTCCACATGGGCCTCAGAAAAGGGGTTCCTGCCAGATGCTGCATGGGAGAATGCCGTGGCGACGACTGTCCGCATGCCCAAATTTCGGCATCGCTCGCTAAGAGGGTTTCAGCGACACTGGGAGCAGCTGCATAAATGTCGACGGTTGCGCCCGCTGCAGTTTTCCATTTCGTAGGAGGCTCGACGGACAATCCGAACACGATTTACATGGCGACAATGGCAGAAGCAAGCCCGTACAGATCGTGCCAGTGAATTTTCAAGGTGACGTGCCACCACCCCGTGTGACAACGCGTTGTTCCAGCGATACGCACAGCACGTAACAATGACATCAGTCCAGCTACTGCTGGATGTACTACCCGATCGAACGGCATGCCCATGGAGATGAAAGGTGTGAATTTGGGGCCGTCTTGAACTCTTTGACTTCTCTTGGGCCTCTCTTCGGCCGTGTTTGGGCCACCTTGCGGCATCGAAAGCCCACCGGAAGCGATAAGGTCAACATGCCAACACCTTTTGCTGTTCTTGGGTGTGCGAAAGATTTGGGCCTCTGGGGGCGTCCTTTGGAAGCTCCGCGGCCAATCGATGCCGTCTAGAAGCGGTCTCGGGGTATCTCGAAACATTTCTTTGTTTCTCTCGGGTGGCTGGCCGGGCTAACGTCGCCACGCCATGTTAATAGCACATTTAGCCGCGAAGGCTGGGTCCTATCGAGACGATTGTTGCTTCACACTTGAGCGCTAGTGCGCTTGGAGCGGAGAGGCCAAACCATGTCGAGATCCCGTTTAGCCGCGATCGGCGGCGGTTCCTGGGCTCCTGGGGAGGAGGGAAGAGGAAGAGGAGGCGGGCGACAACAAAACACAAGGAACAGCGCTCAGGCCAACCTGCAATAGGCGAACCTATGCGCGCCACTGGAGTATCTCGAAGCATAGCAACGGCCATCTTGAGCGCTCTCTTACTTTATGGCTCCCTCTTGGAAGCCCCCAGGAGCACCTCGAGAGGGGCACAAGAAGCGCGTGCTCGGACTCCAGGAGAGAGAGAGAGAGAGAGAGAGAGAGAGAGAGAGAGAAAGAGAGAGAGAGAGAGAGAGAGAGAAAGATAGAGGCTAACTGAAGACTCCCCTTTTTTGATCGATGCCCTCCGACATGGCCCCAAGAGGGCCACCAAGGTTCTCAAAGGGGGCCGCAAAGAGGGACCCCCAAGAGAGACCCGACGGCATCACAAGTGGTTCCAGACAGGCCCCAAAGAGGGCCCAGGTAAGCTGCCAAGGGGCTCCCATACCGAATGACCAGAAACATATTGTTTCTGATAGACTCCTTGGGCCTACCCCAACTGATCCCAACCTTTGGTTTGACGGCTGCCCCACGTTGTCCCATTGCAACATTTCCATGGCCAATGCGACCCGCCTGGGCATCGCTGCTGGAGTGGTTGGCGGGGACACTTTTGGAGACGCGGGAGCGCGAAGACAACTCGAACGCCGAGCAAGCTAGGGCGAGCCGCGCCGCAGCGAAGGAAAAAACGGAGAAGTGAACAGCGCCCGTCACAAAGCGGAACAGGGGCACGGCGCAGCCAAAAAGGCGCGGGAAACATCACAAGCAGCACCGAAAGCTCGTCCACGAAAGTGCCGATTAGGACGCCGGTGTGTGTAGAATGGAAGAGCGACCACCCACATGGTAAATCAGCAGCACGACAACCCCAGGACGCAACTCGCCGAGGAAGGTGCCTGGGGAGCAGCCGCACAAACCCAGCGGACATGCGGCAGCCAAAGCGGCGGGAGGAAAGGCGTCCGTGAACATGCTCTCCAGGCACGCTTGTCGAACCCGAAGTCCTTGAAACATAGGTAGCGTCAAGAATCACCAGTGGCGTGCATGCAGAAAAGGGGGAGGCGGAGGAGGAGGAACAGGAGGGAGGCCAGTCGAGGACCACGAAAGGATTTATGTACCAACTCATCCCCCCCACTCTCTGTTCCGCCGTCGCCGCCGCCGTCGCCGTCGCCGCGTTCCCTGACCCCCGCCCCCGCCGCCGCCCCGGACTGAGAGAACGAGGGCCATGACCAGGACTGGACGCGAAGACGTCGGCGTCGATCCTGGCCACCGTCCACCCTGGCGGCCGCGGCCTCGGCCGCGCTGCCCGCACCTGCGCTGCCCGCCCCCGCGCTGCCTCGGGGCGCGCCGCGAAACTGCCGCGCCTGGACGGACGGGTCCTGGCACGGCGGCGCCGCCGCGGCACAGGCGCTGTTCGCCGGCAGCGCCTGGGTGGCGCACGTGGCCTCGCGGGGGCCCGGGTGGGTCGCGTGCCTCCGCTGAGGGTGCTGGGCGCCGCGCTGGCAGGCCCTCGCGAGCCGCCCGTGCAGCGGGCGGGTGCCAGTCTTCCCGCCGCGCGCGGCTGCGCTCCTGCCGGCGGTGCGCGCGGGTGGCGCCGATGCCGCGTGGCGGGCCGCCAAGCGCGAGTGCCTCTTTGAGCGGCCGGGGCGCCGGACTGATTCATGCATCGGCGAATTTGCCGGAACGCGCGGGCGGGCGCGCTCCTTCCCCCGCCTCCCCCCTCCTCCCTCGCCCTCCCCCGTGCCACTGGGCTCATTCGCGCTTGTGAAACATGATGGACCCACGAACCCGGAAAGGGATATAGACATGTGGAGCATGGACACGTTTTCACGATACCCAACTGGGCAACACCTCACGAAACATCCCACGAGACACTTCACGAAACATCCCACGAGACACCTCACGAAACATTCCACGAGACACCTCACGAAACATTCCACGAGACACCCCGCGAAACATTCCACGAGACACCCCACGAAACATTCCACGACGACAGGCAACCACTCAACCAAGGCGGTGTGGTCGTGCTGGGGAGTGGTCGTGCTGGGGTGTGGTCGTGCTGGGGGGTGGTCGTGCTGGGGGGTGGTCGTGCTGGGGGGGTGGTCGTGCTGGGGGGTGGTCGTGCTGGGGCGTGGTCGTGCTGGGGCGTGGTCGTGCTGGGGCGTGGTCGTGCTGGGGTGTGGTCGTGCTGTGGTGAGGTCGTGCTGGGGTGTGGTCGTGCTGGGGTGTGGTCTTGCTGGGGTGGGGTCGTGCTGGGGTGGGGTCCTGCTGGGGTGTGGTCGTGCTGGGGTGTGGTCGTGCTGGGGTGGGGTCGTGCTTGGGTGTGATCGTGCTGGGGTGTGGTCGTGCTGGGGTGTGGTCGTGCTGGGGTGTGGTCGTGCTAGGGTGGGGTCGTGCTGGGGTGTGGTCGTGCTGGGGTGTGGTCGTGCTGGGGTGTGGTCGTGCTGGGGCGTGGTCGTGCTGGGCGTGGTCGTGCTGGGGTGTGGTCATGCTGGGGGTGTGGTCGTGCTGAGGTGTCCCGCACCCTGTGATTTATCGATCGGGATTTCAAAAACAAGCGTTTCGCCTGAGACATCCTCAAAATTTAATCCGCCGGCCTCCTTCGACCTCGATATTTATCAGGGAAAGAATCCGCCGGCCTCCTTCAAGTTGGGCACCGGGGACATGTTTACATAGGAAAAGAGAACCCTGGGCCTATGCCCTTTCCGGGAAAAATTGATCATCTTCGCGAAGCGGCGACGACTGGCATGGACCATGACACAAATCGGCGTCGACGACATCCCGCGACGTCTTGGTCATGGTCAGCGTGCTCCTTCCCGCGACACCGCGCCCGCCTCGGGCGCCGCGGCGGCGGCGAGCCACTTCACCAGCTTCGCCGCGGGCACGCCGACCATCGCGGCCTCGCTCTTCAGAGCGCTGATGTCCAGCCAGACGGAGCCTGGCGCGGCCGCTGGCCGCTTAGGAGCTGGAGCGGCCTGGCCTCCGCTGGAGGGGGGGATGAGGTGGCCTCCTCCTCATCGTCCCCCCGCCCATCTTCCTCCCTCGTCCTCCAATTCGTCCGTCTTCCCCCTCCATCTTCCACCCTCGGTCCTCCATCCTCCTACTCCCCCCCTCCCCCTCCGCGCCAATTACCCTTCCTCGTCCTCCTACTCCTGCTCCTCCGCCTCCTACCTCACCTCCTCATTCCCTCACTCCCTCAGTCTTTCTTACTACTTCACTCACTCTCTGCTTCTCCTCCTGCTCCTCCCATCTTCTTCCACGTTCTACAACACATATTGACGTACATCGACGTCTTGACCCTCTGGGTCGCGCTGGCCTGATATGCCGTCTCTGTCGCTGGACAATGCGCGATGATCTTGGCCCACTCCCTCAAAAGGTCCGACAGGGAACTATCGTAGAACCATAACAACCGCTGAAATCAGTCCAGATCCACCCCCAAGCGTCGTCCCGCATGGAACCTGGAACCTCCTGCCCCTCAAACTTTCGAGCCATCCTCTCCTCCTCCTCCTCCTCCTCCTCCTCCTCCTCCTCCTCCTCCTCCTCTTCCTCCCCATTCTCCTTATAGTCCGCTCCATGCGCTGAACTCACATGTACTTACCGGCTCCCTTTCGCACCCCCAGACGTGTCCGTAGGCCGGGCCGAACGTGTCGCCTGAGACTGGCCCACCATCTACGGTCCTGGATCTTAACATTTGCAACAACTTCCTGGATGAAGGGCGGGCCGTTTTCAAAATGTGGCTCTCGCCTTAGCACCGCGCGCGCTCGTCTTTCTACTAGGTTGCAGCCGTTTCTTTTTTTGTTGTTTTTGCCGATGCGCCGTCTAGGCGCGGCCTTTTCCAATCCAGTTCAGTCTCTGAAGGTCTCGCATGCTTCCCCGATTGCGGAAAAAACGCATGGCGGGGAGCTGACCAGGGCTTCAAAACTGGTGAGAGTTTCACCGATAACTCTCAGAAGGTCTCACATGCTTCCCCGATTGCGACAAAACGCCTGGCGGGGAGCTGACCAGGTCTTCGCGCGGAAGGAGGAGCGGCTCACTTGGGAGGCCCGCCCTTGTGCAGCAAAGCTACGCGCCTACTCGTTACAGCAAATTGCGATGATGAGCAAGAAGCGGAGTTGCAGTGCCGCGAGAAGAGGCGAAAAAACGAGAGAAGGGCAGCGGCAAGGGTGCCTTGTCCTCTTCTAAGAAGCACTGAGAAAGGGCAGCTAAGGACATGGCCGCCAGGGCTCCAAAAATTGCGGACCCATGCCGCGGCGACGCCTGCCTCACAGCGTCGCGAACGTGATATCGTCCGAGAGGATCGCCGTGCAAAACATGCCGCCGAAAACGCTGGCGTTGCTCGTGTAGTTCGCCAGGCCTTCCTCGGACAGCCCTAGCTTCTGGGCGGCATCCTGCAATGAATAACGAGGCTCGAAGATGTCTGCCCTCGTCAGGTACTTCCTCATCCCCCAGGTCCAGATTGTGTAGTTGTCTGCGTCATGGTCGCAAGCTACGAGAGCCACTTCGTGGTCGCACCTGCCTCCGGGGCTTCCACCATTAATTGACCCCGCGTCGATGCCCAACAATGCAACCTCGGAGGCGCAAGCATCATAGAGCATATCCTCTGTGAACGATGGGATGTTCAATATTGCTTGGGTAACCTGTGCCTGCTGGGACATTGGGTCTTCGGGATGGATCTTCGGGTTGCGGATCGCAAGGTCCCTGCAGGTATCGTCGTCGACACTCGCACAAGCCGCCTGCGGGTTGAAGAGTTGGGTGCAACCCTTGCCAACAGGGTCGATAACAGCATTGCACATCCACATGGTCTCGGGATCCATTTGGCTCTGGGGAGCACTCACGAGGGCATGCTCCTCAGGACTCTCGCCGGGGTAGAACATCCCTGGCAAAGAGTTGGTGCAATCCTGTTCAAGGGAATCCTGGAGGTACCCACTGATCAACGACTGGATCCACATCCCCGCCAATCCGAAGGGGTTCAAAGGGTTGCCATACGCTGCTAGACAATCTGCGGGGTTGCCCCCACAAGTGCTGGAGTAGTTCAGGTCGAAATCGACCGCCTGCTTCGGACGCCACACTCCGCTAACGCCTTGGTATGGAACCAGACCAGGGAACTGGTCGCTGAGGACGTAGTCGCAAGGAAAGCTCAGCTGGTGCGTGGCTCTGCCAGTCCAGGTGAGCTGCAGCGCCATCTTGAGCGCCTTCGCAGGCGCTTTAACGGCGAGCGTGCCCAGGGAGAAGATCCAGCCACAAGTGCCAGTGGCCACCTGGTTCGGACTTCCAGAAGTACGGAGCGGACGGCCTCGCAAACTCCATACATGACCAAGCCGTTCCCCCTGATGATCTTAGCCGACGGAGGCATGCTCTCTTGAACGACGTTCGTCACGGCCCCCTCCTCCCAGGACGGGTAGTCGCCCCAATTGGACACGAGGTAGTTGGCGAATTTGGGCCCCTCTGGAAACGTGTCTGTGAGCGTAACCGAGGCCTTGTAGATGGCGACGAGTGCGTGGCAAGTGGGATCGTCGGCGTACTCTGCGTTGCAGGCTAAGATGTTCAGCAGTTCGTTCATCTCATCAGCTCCTGACCCGTTGGACTTGACATCGTCCCAGTTCGTGCTGGCGCATACAATCCACGACGGGTCCGCAAACACAGGACGCGCCAGCTGCGAGCCGAGGCCAGTGACGTTTGCGAAGGCCTCCTGGATCACCTTGTCCACGGACGCCTCGAAAGCCCGCATGGCTTCCAGCCTGCTCGCGGGGCTGCTGCGATCCGGTCTGCTCGCAGCGCTGCTGCGCAGCGCCAGGCAGCTCGCCTCGTCCGCGTCCTCCGTCGGCGTAGACGCGAGGGCTGCAGCGAAGAGCAGCGCGAAAGGGCTCAGGCGAGATGTGGTCCACATCGCGGCGAGTGTGCCAGAAATAGAAGAAGAATCCGTCGAAGAAATGGCGGCGGCTTGAGCCAGGTTGCAGCCGTTTCCAGGGGAGGGCGGATCCTTTTCCGGAATGTTGTTATCGCCTTAGCGCCGCGCACAGTCGTCTTGAAAGTCTGCAGCTCAAAAGATGTAGGGTGGCTCCTTTTCAACATGTAGCTCTCGCCCTAGCGCCGCGCGCATTCGTTTTATAAAAGTTCGCGACAGTTTCGAGGATGGAGAGCGGATACTTCTCAAACTGTAGGTCTCGCCTTAGCGGCGCGCGTGTTCGCCTGACGAGTTTGCAACAGCTTCAAACATTGAGGGCTTTTCATTCTGAATAGGTAACTCTCGCCTTAAACGCCGCGCACATTTATTCGTCGGCGAGTGCGTGCGAACGCGTCTATAATCGCGACCTGGCCAATTTCACGTAAAGCGCTCAAGCCACCGGTGCCTACGGTTGTATAGACCTGCGCATGGTGCCGCTTTTCGCTCGCTGGCTCCCTTGGGCCCACATCGCAGGAGGAAAAACCCTCCTCTCCTCCCTCCTCCCCTCTCTCCTCTCCGTAGCCATTTTGGCTCAAGGCTGCCGTCCAGGCTCAGGGACCTTTGGGTGCAGGTGCCAGGCATCTGCGAGAACCCCGCCCCGAGACGGCCCCACGCAATAGCCGCCGCCACGGCTGTCCGTCATTTCCCCGAGCCTGCTTGGCACAGACTTGAACGTGCGAAGCGCTCGCTGGCACGAGCCATCGTGCGCATTGCAGGAGCAAAACGACTTCTCGAATCGCATCACAGCAGACAAGGAGGCATGGCTCAGGCGCAAAAGGTGTCCTTTTGGTTCTCGCCTGGTGCTGCCTCCACAAAGTCTACCTGGCAGTGCAAGGAGTGCAACACCATCAACTGGACGGCCCGTACTACGTGTCGCACCTGTGTGCCGCCCGCGTCCCCCGACACCGCGCTGAGGAAGACATCGGACAAGGGCAAGGGCAGGGACAAGGGCAAAGACAAGTCCGCCAGGGGCAAGTCCAGGAACAAGTCCAAAGGCCCGACCCGAGCTGGAGGTGCAGCACCGTCCGTCCCTCCGTGGCGTGCTGCTCAGCCTCCTCCAGCTCCTGGCCCTGCTACGAAGCCTGCCACGACAACGGCACCTCAGGAGGAGGACTCTTGGGAATGGGCCGACGAGGACGAGTGGGACGAGGACGAGGCGATCTCCTCCAAAGAGCTTCTCCACATCCGTCCAGCTCTCCCTTCGGTGGCAGCTGTACATCCTATGTTTCGGCCACCACCACCCTCTTCTGCGACCGACGCCACAAAGGAAACCTACAGACAAAAGGCTGCTGCTCGTCCCGAAGCCCTCGACACGTTATCAAGGACCGACATGCTGCAGGTCAATCCACAGAGGGAGCGGCTCTGGAGTATGCAGTGACCCTGACGATGATGTACCAAGCTCGTGGCATTGCGGAGCAGATCATCAAGCAGGACGAGGCGATAGGCAGGGCGGAGAAGCGCTACCAGAAGGCGGCCGACGACCTGCACGAGACGGAGTACCTGATGGAGACCCTCACAGCCGACGTGAAGAAGTTCCAGCAGGACCTGGCGCACATGAAATCGGCAAGGGCCGAACTCCAGATCCTGAAAGAAGAAGAAGAAGAACGCCAACAAGTTGCCCAAGCGCAGCAGGACAAGTCGGAGGAGGACGTCGACATGAAGTCCCAGCCTCAACAGACCCAGCCGAGCACTCTGGTTGCCATGGCGCTCCAGCAGGAGCAGATGACCATGCTCGTGGAGCAGGTCGACAACCTCACGAACGTCATTGCGGGCCTACAGGCGACGAGCGGCCTCCGCAGGAAAGGCGTCCGCCCCAAGGGGGGGGGCCTCCCGTGTGGGCCCTGCTGGTGGACTGGCTGCCCCCATGGCTGCCGAGGCGGAGGCCTCAGTGGCCCCTTCCGACCTCGGCGGACCTGGCGAGAGCATGGCCACTCCGGCGCCGACCCCTGCCCCGTCGGCCCAGGCGACGTTGCGCGCCCAGCAGGCGGTCCTGAGTGCGGGAGCGCTCCCGCCAGCGGCCGCCATAGCCCCGAGGCCGAGGACAGAGAAAAACGACGACCGGTACGACAACGACGTGGACGCCGCCAGGCGCCGAGAGGGCTCCACCAGCCAAAGACGTGGACGCAGTCGCGACCGCGTGGCAGAGAGAGAGGCAGTCCAGGAGACCCAGAAGTCCAAGACGACGTTGGGGGGCCCTACGCAGTCCATGGCGCCCAACGCGGCGTAGCACTTACTGAGGCCCCTGCCCACGTGAGCAGCGGGCGCCCTCACCCTAACCTCCTGTCGCCTCAGTCTCCCCCCTCCCCATGGTGTGTGTTCCAGAGAGGGCTTACCCAGCCCCCAAGTGTTTCCCTTCTCTTCCAGTTGCCGAGGCCAGAAACACTCTTTGTCAGTCCTGGCCTTTCCAGCTTGAATATTTCCTGCCCGAGATTCTTCAGCAGTATCTCCATCCAGCCACCAAGGAGTAGATTTGCAGTGACCTTCCCTTCTCCCCTCACCTCCCTCCCCCGGTGCGTGTCTCTATCGACGCGGATGGAACGGGAGGCAGTCAGGCTGCAAGCATACCAATTGTCCCTGCAGCTGCGGTGGCGGTTGTCTATAACTATTCCGACGGGGCCTTCACCGTCGCAGGATACCTCTCTGCTATTGTGCCCGAGGATCTCAAGGAAGTGCTTCCGGTTCAACAGTCTTCTGATTCATCCGAACTGATGGCTGCAGTGTGGGCCCTGGCATATGTTGCCCAAGGACCCTATCTAGACGTTCCTGTTGAGTTTGTGCTCGATTCCAAACGGACTCTCGGCGTCATCTCGGGTTCCCAACACTTCGATTTCAAAAACTCGGTGTTGATGTTTCTCCGTTCCGTGATTCAATGGCTCGGAGACTCCAGGGACCTGTCGTTTCGCCACGTCTCTTCTCACATTGGGGAAGGCTTCAATGAGCTAGTTGACATGATTGCTCGGTTGTCTTGCATGGGTCTGCTACCATGCCCTCCCTACATGCCTTTCGCGAAGTATCTATTTGATGCTACCCCAGTTGCATGGCTTTGGAGGTATGAGCAAGGCCTTGCTACACAATGCCCTGAGGCACCGCTCCCCCGAATATCCGAGGACAATTTCCTGGTGGTCCCAAACGTGCTCTCTGGTGGGTACACTACTAAAGAAGTTCTTGGTGGCTGTCGCAAGCTTCCAGGGCCTCGCGTTCCCAGTACTGGTGCTCCTGGTGGGGTCCCTAGCCTTGCTATCAAAGTGGGCCTGGCTAATGTGCTTACCCTTAGGAACAATACCGACAGGTGGACCCGGACCAGTAAGAAACGAATGTCGGCCAGGACCCCAGAGCTCATTGGACTCACTGCTCCAGGCAGACTCACTATGTTGGCTAAACAGTTTTCGAAAGCTGAATATCACATAGTGGCGGCCGTCCAGACCCGTCTGCGCTCCCGCATGCCTAGTCGTGTTGGTGATTTCGCTGTCTACGATGCTGTAAGGACGGAGTTGCTATTTGGGTCAACGTGGACCAGCCCTCAGGGGAGGGTAGGCCGCCGTTTTCTAAACAACAAGTGGTTATCACATACTCAGCGCCAACGCGATTACTCCTGCCGGCGCAGCTTCCAGACGCTAGATGTTTCATCTTTGCGGGCCACGGGCCCCACGAGGCAGTCAAGGGGCCCAGTGCTCTGGAGAATTGGTGGACCCAATCCCAGGCTATCCTACAGCCCCTGGTTGACGGTGGGCACGTAGTGATTTCGCGCATCGACGCCAATGCTGAAGTTGGCTCGAATACCAGTCAACATGTTGGGGGAGTACAGGCTGATAACAAGGACCTCCCGGGTGAATGCCTGCATAGGTTTTGTTACGAACTCGATTTCTGTATCCCTGCCACCGTCCTTAGCCCCCCCCCCCCTGGGGGACTCGGGGAAAACCTGGACCAGCTCTGATGGCAAGGTTTCTGAACGTATCGATTTTATCTTGGTTCCTAGGGAACTTTTGAGGGGGGCCTCCGAGGCGAAGGTTGACCGTGGAGTTGACCTCGTTGGTGCCATTCACGACCACGCTTGTGTGTCACTTAAGTTTGTTCTTCCCACGGACAAAAACAGCCCCCCCCCTCTTTGATTGGAGGAAACCGGTTATTGACCCCAAGCGCCTCCAGGACCCCAGCGTTCGTAAGACCTTTCAGGGATGTTCAAGGACTCTCCCGAGCATGCCGTGGCACGTGTCTCCCACGCTCCAGCTCGTGCAGTCCGCGGTCAGTCACCTGCAGCCAGACAAAACATGATGGACCCACGAACCCGGAAAGGGATATAGACATGTGGAGCATGGGCACGTTTTCATGATACCCAACTGGGCAACACCTCACGAAACATCCCACGAGACACCTCACGAAACAGCCCACGAGACACCTCACGAAACATTCCACGAGACACCTCACGAAACATTTCACGAGACACCCCGCGAAACATTCCACGAGACACCCCACGAAACATTCCACGACGACAGGCAACCACTCAACCAAGGCGGTGTGGTCGTGCTGGGGAGTGGTCGTGCTGGGGTGTGGTCGTGCTGGGGGGTGGTCGTGCTGGGGGGTGGTCGTGCTGGGGGGGTGGTCGTGCTGGGGGGTGGTCGTGCTGGGGCGTGCTGGGGTGGTCTGTGGTCGTGCTGGGGTGTGGTCGTGCTGGGGTGTGGTCGTGCTGGGGCGTGGTCGTGCTGGGGCGTGGTCGTGCTGGGGCGTGGTCGTGCTGGGGTGTGGTCGTGCTGTGGTGAGGTCGTGCTGGGGTGTGGTCGTGCTGGGGTGTGGTCTTGCTGGGGTAGGGTCGTGCTGGGGTCGGGTCGTGCTGGGGTGTGGTCGTGCTGGGGTATGGTCGTGCTGGGGTGGGGTCGTGCTGGGGTGGGGTCGTGCTGGGGTCTGGTCGTGCTGGGGTGTGGTCGTGCTGGGGTATGGTCGTGCTAGGGTGGGGTCGTGCTGGGGCGTGGTGCTGGGGGTGGTCGTGCTGGGGCGTGCTGGGGGGTGGTCGTGCTGGGGCTGTGGTCGTGCTGGGTGCTGTGGTCGTGCTGGGGCGTGGTCG